AGGTTGTGGGTTCGATTCCCGCCCCTGGACACTTTTATTTTTCTGTTCGCCATTACTCTTCATATTTTCACCCTTTCATACGTCCTCCAATCATATTGCCACGTTTTTATTTTAAAACGCTAATTTTCTGTTTTGTAAAACTTTAATTTTAAAGTTCATTATTTTAAAAGTGAAATGTTTGTTAATGGAATAGACATTTTACCTCAACTCATTTTATTGCCGCTTTTGTTTACAAGCCATTTGTTTTTATATCTATTTTTACATATCGTTTTTATTGAGTTTTTACTAATTTTGCATGTACATCATTGGCTTTTAATGAATGAGAAAAAGAAATTGAAAATAAACATATGAAAAATTAAAGTAACACCTTAAAGGAATTTATGTACAATTGAAAATTGTTTTTTTGTAACGTCTCATATTCCCCTTCTTGAAGCATTTATTCTCGGGTAATAAATGGTCGAAGTTGAGATATGTGAACGCGTCTTGCTTGCTTTTGGTCTTTCATAGAGATATCGTAGGTTACACCAGATATCTTTTTTTAAATGACAAATGGTCCTTCATATTTTGGTGATGTCTTGATGAGACGAGGGTCGTTGAAGGCAATTTTTCTTATGACTAAGTCTCCTTCTTTAAAGACATACTTGGGGTGATGGCTATCGTGTTTAATCTTCCACTTACTTCTAATTTGTTCTGTCCGCAGGCTAGCTTTCTTCCTGGCTTCTTCAATTGTAATTGGAGTTTGGTCGGCAAATTCGGGTACATTACCGATTCCATACATTAAGAAAAGCGGTGAAAAACCAGTCACGTCATGTGGTGTGGAATTATAATTTTTGACAACTTGCGGTAACAATGAGCTCCATTTACATCTAGGTTTCTCTAGAATAGCTATTCTCAGTTTTGTCATTATCGTATCATTTAATTTCTCACAAATGCCATTGCACTGAGGATGATAAGGCGAAGTATATGTGTGTTTAATTCCTTGTAAAGAAAGAAATTTGTTGAACTCTTTTGATATAAAATTTTTGCCATTATCTGTTAAGATAGTATTGTTCGAATTAACAGATTTGATTATCTTATCAAGACATTGAGTGACAGCTTGAGCAGTGTTTGTTATTGTGGGATATGCCCATAGATAACGAGTTGCGTGATCAACAAAAACTTGAATGAATTTAAGCTTTGTGTTAGCTGCTGCTGTTCCCAGTACAATAGTGTCACAACCGATCATTTCTAATGGTTGGATATTTGACGTTGGAGTGATCATTTCTCCTAAAGTTGGTTCATGTCTGACCTTCACTAGTTGACAAGATTTACAAGATCGAACATAATTCTTGATATCAGTTGTTATTCCTTTCCACCAATAACATTGAGTTATAAGTTTGCATGTTTTGGTTATTGATGGGTGACTCAATGAATCGTGATATTCTTCCAATATTTTTTTGGTAAGCGAGTTTGGGACAACTGCTTTAAAAACTCCTTTTTGTTTGATCATTACCACACCGTCGTGAGTGTGGGAATTTTTCAAGAAACTCAAATCTGAATTTTGTTGGTGTTCTTGAAGTTCTTGAGTTGCAATGTTAACAACTGGGAGTCTTGATAAGGCGTCAACATGAGTTTGTTGCTTTCCAGAACGATGAACGATGTTACATGATTTCGAGGATAAACTAAGAATCCATCTAAAATACTTAGGTTTCGGTTTCTTCATGGTGAAAAGCCATTGGAGCGCCGCATGATCAGTGATGATTTCAAATGGTTGGTTTTCTATGTATACATGAAAGTGATCAGTTGCTTGTATCACGGCTAGGCATTCCATCTCATAAGCAGAATAATTCTCTTGGTGTGGTTGCAGTGTTTTGGAGTAATAAGCAATTACATGTTCCTCATTGTCTGGACTAATTTGTGTTAGGATTGCTCCAATTCCATATTTGGAGGCATCTGTATAAACTTTAGAGGGGTAGTCCGGGTTGTAAATAGCAAGGACAGGTTTTGTAGATAGTGCCATTTTAAGTTTAGCGAACGACTCCTCTACTTCCTCATTCCAGATGAAGGGCTGATTCTTCCGAGTGAGTCGAACCAAGGGGAAGGAAATTTTAGAAAAGTCCTTCACAAATTTTCTGTAATAATTTGCCAATCCCATGAACTGACGAACTTTCTTTACAGTATCAGGTCTTGGAAAGTCTTGAATAGATTTTACTTTTCCTGGATCAGGTTTTAATTGATTGTGACTGATGATATGTCCGAGGTATTTTACTTCAGTTCTTCCAAAAATACATTTCGACAATTTTAATTTCATGTTGTACTGTCTTAATTTGTTAAAAACTTTATTAAGAAGCTCTATGTGCTCTTGCCATGTTTTCGTGTACACCAATATGTCATCTTGGAAAGAGCAAGTTTCTTTCCATAATAATTCACCTAGAATATGTTGGATTATCCTTTGAAACGTTGAAGCAGCATTTTTTAAACCAAATGGCATCACTAAAAACTCATAATGACCATCGTTTGTGACGAATGCAGCTTTTTGAATAGATTGCGGGTCCATTTCGATCTGCCAATAACCCCATGCAACATCAAGGGTAGAGAAGAATCTGGATCCATGCAATCGATCAAACATGTCCTGTATGTGAGGTAGGGGTTGCCTGTCATCCAGCGTGATCTCTTTAAGACGTCTGTAATCAATGCACATCCTTTTATTTCCATCCTTCTTGGGAACCATAACAACAGGAAATGCCCAAGGAGAATCTGAAGTTCTTATTAACTTGTGTTCGAGAAGTTCTTTAACTTGTTCAGCAATCTCTTCATACTCTTTTAGAGGACGACGATAGGGTCTAAGAGAAATTGGTTGTTCACTTTTCGTGATGATCTTATGTTGTATAGCTACTTTTCCCAAATCAATGGCATGCTGACAAAATACATTCCTATTGTGTTCAGAATTTTTTTTAAAATTCATGTTCTCTTATCTCTTCTAGATGATTTACAAGAATTGGATTTTGTAATCCATCAAATTTGGTGTAAATTGTTTTGTCTTTGACATCTATTAAAAGATTAAAAAGAGATGCAACATCTAATCCGATCAAGAGTGGATATTTAAAGTTCTTCATTACATGGAGAGTTACAGGTTTAATTAGTTTATCTATTCTTACCTTGGTCTGAAGGCTTCCACATGTCCTGGTAACACCATCCGCTTGGCTGATGTGAATGTCTGAATTTGGTTGAAGTTGAAGACGGGTTCGCTTGAACAATCGCCAATTGATTATTGATACTGTTGCTCCAGTATCCACAAATGCTTGCGCAGGAATTCCATTTACTTCAACACTTATGTTGATAAGCTTGAAAGCTCCTTGTGTAGGGGTATTTGTCAAAGTACTTACATTCAACAATTCCGGGGCTCCGCATACTTGTTTCACTGAAGTGTTTTGATTAGGCCTATCCTTTTTATAATTAGGATCATAATCCTCACAATCTGTGACCCAATGTTTAATTTTTATTCCCTTTTTCGAACATATTGGACACCAGAATGGGCAAACATTTTTTCTATTATCATTATTTTTTGTCGCGAGATGTATTTTGTTTTTAGGCTTAAACTGAATTGAAGCCCTATTTTGTTCAATTGAAGCTGCGATATGAAACCATTTTGTGGCGTCAGTTGGCTGTGCAGCCACAATTAAATCTTTCCAATCATTTGGAAGTCCGTCTGTTAATAAATGAATTTTTTCCTCCTTCGTTAGATGGGTTTGATTTAACAGGCGAATTTTATCTTGAAAATAATTTTATATTGATTCTTTTTTTTTTTCTCGTTTTAATCTTCGATGTGATGCTGAGACAATTGGATTTGCGTTGTATGAACCAAATCTTTGAATCAACTTTTCCTTTACAACTTCCCATCTTTTTATTGCAGGATTTGAAATAATCTCGTCTGCATACCATTCAAGTGCTGAATCTGTCAAGTAGTACATAAGATTTTTGATTTTTTCATCTTCCTTTAAAGAATTATTTTCAAAATCATATAATTTGATCCATGACTCAGGCCTAATTGCCGACTTCGAGCCGTTGAATTTTTGCAACCGGTTGTTTGGATTTTCCGCCATTTTTTCCTTCCGTATCCTTTTTGACTGCGCCAAATGCCACGTTTTTATTTTAAAACGCTAATTTTCTGTTTTGTAAAACTTTAATTTTAAAGTTCATTATTTTAAAAGTGAAATGTTTGTTAATGGAATAGACATTTTACATCAACTCATTTTATTGCCGCTTTTGTTTACAAGCCATTTGTTTTTATATCTATTTTTACATATCGTTTTTATTGAGTTTTTACTAATTTTGCATGTACATCATTGACTTTTAATGAATGAGAAAAAGAAATTGAAAATAAACATATGAAAAATTAAAGTAACACCTTAAAGGAATTTATGTACAATTGAAAATTGTTTTTTGTAACGTCTCAATATATAGACCATTACTCTTCATATATTCAACCTTTTCATACATCATCCAAAAAGTTAGAAATAGTACATATTTCTCTTTGAAATTAATATTGATTTTTCACAAAAAAGAAACTTATGCGGTGAAACTTTAAGTGTTGCTTTATAATCATACGCCGCAGTCCTTTATAATGTATTATAAGTTACTTTAAGTATTAGTTACGAACGGAAAAATACGTCCAGGGTAGCCTAGTGGACATGGCACCTGCCCGGTAAGCAGAAGGTTGTGGGTTCGATTCCCGCCCCTGGACACTTTTATTTTTCCGTTCACCATTACTCTTCATATTTTCACCCTTTCATACGTCATCCAATCATATATAGACCATTACTCTCCATATATTCAACCTGTTCATGCGTCATCAAAAAAGTTAGAAATAGTACATATTTCTCTTTGAAATTAATATTGATTTTTTACAAAAAAGAAACTTATGCGGTGAAACTTTAAGTGTTGCTTTATAATCATACGCCGCAGTCCTTTATAATGTATTATAAGTTACTTTAAGTATTAGTTACGAACGGAAAAATACGTCCAGGGTAGCCTAGTGGACATGGCACCTGCCAAGTAAGCAGAAGGTTGTGGGTTCGATTCCCGCCCCTGGACACTTTTATTTTTCCGTTCGCCATTACTCTTCATATTTTCACCCTTTCATACGTCATCCAATCATATATAGACCATTACTTTTCATATATTCAACCTTTTCATACGTCATCCAAAAAGTTAGAAATAGTACATATTTCTCTTTGAAATTAATATTGAATTTTCACAAAAAAGAAACTTATGCGGTGAAACTTTAAGTGTTGCTTTATATTCATACGCCGCAGTCCTTTATAATGTATTATAGTATGATGTATATATATATATATATATATATATATATATATATATAGTAATCTTTTTCTAAATAGTGCAGACTGTGAACTTTGCATATATTGATAAGATGTCGATAAATTTATTTAACGATGCACTAGCGCGCAATCTGTTATCAAATTATAAAACTATTTTAGAGGCGTAATATTCTTTTTAAAATAAAACAATTTCTACTGTCCTTACTGCGATGGAAAAATTAAAGGGAGGGCCTGGCTCATCAGTGGTGAACCCTCCCAGCGGTTTCGCCAGTTAAAATTTATTTAAATTGTCATTTATCTTAGAGAGAGAAAAAAACCTATTTACACTTTGTGAATTTTTACGTGCCTAACGTTCAAACATTTAGATAAAAAAATAGAGAAAAATAAAATCAATATATTAATATATACACTCATGGACAAAACTTAAGGAAGTTGTATCTTTTAGTATAAATATCGGGATTCATACAATAACTATGAAAGATATTACAGTGAACTATATTGATGATACACAAGATAACCAAGTTTAAACAAAATTGCCTGTCTCCATAAAAAAAAAAAAAAAAAGTATGTCCGATGATATCAAAGACTTTCCACTTCCTTAAGTTTTGCCCATGAGTGCATATTTGAAAAGAAATGTAGCGTTAAAAATATTTTTTTAATTTTCAGTAATTACACATACAAGCCTTTATTAAGACATTCCGTCTTATACAGACGATTTTCCTGTTAGAAATGAATCTAAAAAGAAATAAGAAGCAGGGGAAGAAATTGAATCCTGGTTCAGAAAAGAGAAAAAGAAGAAAAGGAAAGAATATCTATTTTTTTTTGTGCATAGAACACAGTGAAGAAGTAGATTATTGAATAAATGGTTGCATCTTGTGAAAAAAAAAAATCCATACAGTTCAGTTACTTTGTTAGGTCTTTTTTCCTCCTTGCAGTCTTGAAAAAATTAAAGAACTTCAAAATAGCTGACCCATTATCAATCAAGTCTGAAAGAAAGTAATACAGCGAAAAGTGTGGATAAGCAGCTCTACCGCAAAAAGTTTCTCTTTCCATAGTGAGAGAGACGTACATTCAAATGGTGTTCCAGTTCGGATATTTCATTCCTTTGGCAAAGTGGACAAAATATGTCCTCTTTTTCATATTTTTTATTTGATTTTCCCGGTAGAAAACAAGAAGTACTTTTATTTGAGTGATGATTCTCTTAGCCGGCAGTGGAAGATTGGTTAGTATGTGTATATGTTAGTACGTCTGTGACGTATGATGTATGCAGGTAATTTTTAGTAATTAATCTATTTCATCTTTATCTCAAGATGATCCAACAGTCTTTAAAGGTCTTTTCAAAACCTTATTTCGAACCTTTTTAATATTGTCAGATATCAAAATTATTGCTCTAAGTCTTGTATTATTTGTGAATGTTTTCTAAGTAAGCTGAAACTATATAAATATTTACACTCATATTAATGTAATATAGACTAAAATACATATTCCCTTTATATTATGATGCATTAGCGCGCCATCTGTAAATTATAAACTATTATAGACGCGTATGATTCTTTTGATGATTAAACAATTTCTACTGCCCTTACTGCAATGGAAAAATTAGTGGGAGGGTCTGGCTCATCAGTGGTGAACCCTCCCAGCGGTTTCGCCAGTTTAATCTACCATACTGCTGTTATATTGCATTTTCGATCTTCCTTTCATAGTGATACTGATGCTAGACTCTTGGAATGGGTATTTTAGATGAACTATGGACATAAGCTTTGAAGACAGCGGAATTGCATACATTTACAAATATATGAAATGCTTCTATTTTATTACTTTGTGTAAACTTTCCTCATTGATTATCTTGTATTTTATATCAATTTTAATTGGTGCTTGTGTCTAAATGAATTGCTGTGTCATCCTGAAGTGTATCCTTCCTAATTTTATATGTGACAATGTTAAAGGTTAATGTACATATCTTACAACTCAAAGATAAATAAGTGTTAAGGCGAATATAACATTCTTATGATTTATTTTCTTTGTTACAGTTTTAGATGATTTTATAGCAAACTAGCCGAATGACCCGGGCAACGCCCGGGTTTTACCCAATTAAATGTTTTTATTCAAATACTATCCGTTACAATTATAAATTGGCGCCGTGGATGTCACTCTTGTGAAACGTCCCGCTCCAAATTTGTGTCTGAGAAGCGATATTTTTATAGAGAGATGATCTGGCTTTGTGTCTTCTGCTCGAATGATTTTTTTTCTGTTAGAATTTTTTTCCTGAATACTAAAAATGAACTGGCTTCAACCGTGGTCTCTGCTCTTTGGAATTTTTCCCGATATAATTTTGTATCTGATAATCAAATGATGATACAGCAATATTGTCATCATCATTTTCTGACTAAAAAAAAAAAACAACTATTTTTGCCCAAAACCTGTCTGTATAATTCTTCTCAATGTATAATTTTCTTACAACATAAACCTTACATTATTCAAACATTGGATCAGTAAACATGAGGGCAACCATTTCGTTCAATTACATTACTTTATTTTTCATATAACATTTTTTTTGTAAACAAAAAAGGTGATGATGATAAATTCAATGAATATTTACACAATCATAGAAAAATTATATTAAACCTTTATATAAACATAAATATTCTAACTAAATTAAACATTCTCCCGCCACCAACTTGATGGGGGACCATCAAAAACATTATATAGGTAACAAACATAATTTTACAATAGGTCTTCTGTAAGTCCCATGAGCAGTCTTGACTTCTACCACTCTGATTCTAGCGTCATCTCCTGGAAACACCTTTGAAATTCTTCCAATCTTCCATGCTAGTGGAGGTTGTTGTTCATTCTTTATCAACACCAGGGATCCTTCCTTAATGTTGGGTTGGGGCTTACACCATTTGGATCTTTGTTGAAGTTGTGACACATATTCTTGGGACCATCTTGTCCAAAAATGATTCATTGATTTTTGAATTAATTGCCATCTATTTGACAAACTCATTGCTATGATGTCATCTTCATCGGAAGCGCTGTTAAAGAACCACCTATTAAGAAGTGACCAGGAGTCAATGCCTGTAGATCTTCAGGGTCCTCAGGAAGAGGACAAAGAGGTCGCGAATTCAGGCAAGCTTCAATTTGTGCTAACAATGTTGTTAGTTCTTCAAAATTTAGCAAAGCACTGCCCATTGTTCTTCTAAGATGATATTTCATGGACTTAACTCCGGCTTCCCAAAGTCCACCAAAATGTGGAGCTGAAGGTGGAATAAATTTCCACTGAATTCCCTCTGAATTCGTAAGAACTTTACTGGCATTGTGACATATTTTCCCAATAATCTTATGCGCACCAACAAAATTAGTGGCGTTGTCACTTTGAATTGTTGCTGGTTTACCTCTTCGAGCAATGAACCTTCTTATTGTGGGTAGGAGAGCATCTGTGGTCAGACTACTGATTAATTCTAGATGAATGGCCCGAGTGCTGAAACATATGAACAAGGCAACGTAAGCATTCATGGTTGAAGTTGTACGTCCCATGTTCCGTTTAATCAGAAAAGGCCCTGCAAAATTTATTCCAGTTACCAAAAACGCCCTTGATCTGCTGATCCTTGCAAAAGGTAGATTTCCCATTAATTGAAAAGGAGCTTCTTTTTTACAAAATCTAGCGCATTTTATGCATGTTCTTAAAATTTTCCGTACAACATTTCTTCCAGAAGGTATCCAGAATATATTTCTTTTTGCTGCAAGCGTAGCTTGAGTTGATGAGTGAATATTATGGACATGAACATTGTTTACAATAAGAGTGGTAAGATGATGTGTTCTTGGAAGTAAAACTTGATTAATCCGATCACCATAAACATTTACATTTTTTAATCGTCCGCCAACTCTAATGATTCCCCTTGAATCCAAAAAAACATAGATTGTATATTCTACTCTTATTCGGGATTGGCTTGTTGCTTAACAGGCAATGATTTTCTTTGGAAAATTCAATAGATTGAACACACTTAACAACTGTCAACAGGGCATCATTCAACTCTCTTAATGTTAAGGACTCCCTGTTCCTTGAATGTGAAGGCATTTGACTATTGTTGACAAATCTCAAGCACCAAGCTATGATACATTTCAGTTTGGTTTATGATGAGCAGTTTATCACAATGGATGGAATTTTACACTCAATTGTACCAAAATACGTCTTGATTTTTTCTTCTTCTTTAAATTCTTCCATGGAGCTATTAATGGATTTCTTAATTTCAAGGGCAAGTTCAATTAACCATGGTGGCCCATTCCACCATAGTGGATGTTCTACTAAGCCGGATGGAAATATTCCATGTGATGCACAGTCTGCTGGATTCTGCCTTCCATCAACATGGCACCAAACCCCGGAGACAAGCCGGTGTATCTCAGCAACTCGATTTGCCACAAATGTCTACCATCGTCACGGCTCGGAATTGATCCCGCATAAGGCTATAGTAGAATCAGACCATAAATAAATTTCATTGATGGTAAGAGGAAGGTTATTATATACAGTTTTCACTAATCTTGCCAAAAGTAGAGCAGAACATAATTCTAACTTTGGAAGTGAAACCACCTCCATAGGTGCGACTCTTGTTTTTGCCACTAAGAGAAATGTCTTAGCGATTGTGTTTGAGAGGATCACCTTTAGATACAGAGATGCAGCATATGCCTTCTGTGATGCATCACAAAATTCATGAAATTCTACCTTCATAAAATTACCTGGTACCACGCATCTTGGGATCT